CCTGTAGGTGATCTGCAACACTACTGTTGACCCTTGAACAAAACAGGCTTAATTAAACCCCACACATCCAATTCTTCACAGATTTTTTTTTTTTGGCTATAGTACAGTATTGAAAATGTTCTTTCTCTTCCCTAGTAACATTTTCTTTTCTCTAGTTTATTTTATTGAGAATACAGTATATAATACACATAACACAGAAATGTTTTGACAATTTTTGTCAAATATGCATTTTTTTTTTTTTTTTTTTTTTTTTTTTTTTTTTTTTTTTACTTCATGGGGTGGGTGAGGGGGAATCAGCATCCCTAACACTCTGGCATTGTTCAAGGGCTAACACTTCTTTCTCCCTGTGCTCCTACAATTGGGTATTAACAGCATTCACCAATGTGGGCTGGAATTTGTGTAAACACACTGAACCCTCATCTGTGACTGTGACTTCTTCTTCTTCTTTTTTTTTTTTTTTACTTTTGATAGTCACACACACACACACACACAGAGAGAGAGAGAGAGAGAGAGAGGCAGAGACACAGGCAGAGGGAGAAGCGGGCTGCATGAAGGGAGCCCGACGTGGGACTCGATCCCGGGTCTCCAGGATCACGCCCTGGGCCAAAGGCAGGCGCCAAACCGCTGCGCCACCCAGGGATCCCTGTGACTGTGACTTCTTGAGGGCAGAAATTGCTTGTTTTCCTAGCATCTTAAAACCTGGGAACCATAACAAGTTCCCAATAAGTATTCATTGAATAACCAAATTATTGGTTTGTTTTTGATGATGCATTTTTGACATTTAGAAATGCTATTATAACAGAAAAAACTCTGATGCACACAACAGTCAAGCCATGAGTAGTGAATGTATATTAGGTGGATCTCCCTGATATACGTTGTTAGGTATAGATCAAGTAAAATTAACAGCCAGTCTCCTAAGAGCTAGGCTAGGCCCATGAGCAACAACTTTACTAACTGGCTTAAGACCAACTAAAACCTATTCCATTTCTTATATCCTTGGATCCTTTAGCACCAAACTGTCATGCAGTGCTTCTGCTGGGGGGGGTTTTTGTTTTGTTTTGTTTTGTTTGGCGGGGGGAGGATGGTTTGAGAAAGGTATAGCTTTTGAGAGTTACTCTCACAAAATTTTTACTTTAACAATTTTATTCAATTCTTTAAATTCCCTTGAGACAACTAGTTTTCCATATGAAACACTGCAAATTTCTTCATGAATAGCAGCAGTCTGAACCAGGTTTTTGGACTAGGGATCTGATTATACATCCCTAAAACGCAGTTTGCTTTTTAAAGCAGTTCAAGGCAAGGAGGGAAATTTCAACTCCTCAATGGCTAAACCTACCTCCCCTACATCCTTTCAACCTGTTATTCTTTTTAAGTCTTACTAAAACTATTCTGAATAACAGCTGCTGGAAAGAATCCTGAATAGGTGGGATGAATAATCACATTTTTCTCTCCCTGGCTATGCAGTATATTCCATGTTTCTTTCAGTTTCCAGTTAGGGCACTTTGGCAAATATTCAGATGAATGGAATAAGCCTCAAGTCTAATTGTCTTACACATCAGTTAAAAAAAAAAGTTTTTATATGCGTTACAAATATGTTAAGAGATAGTACTTCCCATCAATTGTTTTTCTAAGACTTGTATAAACATTCCTTCCTTAGGGACGTGATTATTAAAAAGTGGGGTGGACAATATATTATGAGGCTCACTCAGGAGGATTTCTCAAGCTATACATTATCCCTCACAAATATTCTGATTCTATTCCTTCTTGTTTTCTACCTGGAATCAATGAAGTGACCCATTAATCTTTGTGTGTCATAACCTTTTTTCTTTTTTCTTTCAAGACTTATTTATTTATGATAGACAGAGAGAGAGAGAGAGAGGCAGAGACACAGGCAGAGGGAGAAGCAGGCTCCATGCCGGGAGCCCGATGTGGGACTCAATCCCGGGATTCCAGGATCGCACCCTGGGCCAAAGGCAAACGCCAAACGCTGAGCCACCCAGAGATCCCGGTCTTTCTTTCTTTTTTTAAAGTAGGCGTATACCCAATGTGGGGCTTAAACTCATGACCTTGAGATCAAGAGTCGCATGCTCCACCAACAGAGCCAGCCAGGCGCCCCGATGTGTGTCATATCCTTTTGTGCATTATGAATTATTATTTTAGACGTATCAGTGAGTACAATATTTTCAATTAGAATTCTATAAAAATATAAGACATTTTGCTTAAATTACATTATTTATTTTTAGATTATCCCTCCTAGTCCTGCATGCATCATTAGCACAAAAAGTTGAACTTGATCACAACCTCCATTTGAAGAGCTAGTAGGTACACAATCATCATCTGAAGAGTTTTTCTTCACAGATGGCCCAAGAATTCCAGGCCTTGGTAATACTGTCAGTAACCTACACAAATATTAATAGAAAAATTTATCAAATATCCTTTGTTTAATGTAAACAAGGCAGGAGGCCAGAGTATTACAGTAACACTATTTTACAGGGCCCAGATATATGATTATCTATCACGTTTTAACATATCAAGTGTCACAATGACATGCATATTTTGATTAATCATACAACCCAAAATAGAACTACCATATAATTTGTGGTTTTAGCACTTCACTGCAACTTCTGTCAATACCTGTGAACTTCATAATTAAATGGTAATTGTATATGAATGCAATAATTTGTGGAAATATGTCACCATGAATTATGAAGTAATTCCATAATTTGTGCCCTGTAAAATTAAGTGTAACAATCTTTACACTAGCAACAGTGTAAGCAAGCTAAGGATTTTGGTCCATTTATATATATATATATATATATATATATATATATATACACACATATATATATATACACACACACACATATATATACACATGTACACACATAATAATGTACAATTAAATCAAAGGGCTATGAATCCCCTCATAGCTTCCATATTGCACAGACAGATACATTATGAGAACATTACATAGTTATAATGTGAGCACTACACTGATAATTGGCTAAGGACAAATCTGAGTTCTATCAAGTAAAGAATGTGGCTCATTATTAAAAATAAAGTCAGAGATTATACTTGTTAGAAAGTTAAAAAAATGTGCATACATATTTATATTGATGTGAAGCAGGACTAAAATTCAGCTCAGAACTTGCTATGGCAATCAGCTAAGGTAGTACTTTCCACCCCACAGTGCACTGGAGTCACTGCTTTACAAGTACTGAGTAACAGAAATATTCAGTTTCCAAAAAAACAGTAAGAAAAAGGCTAGGAATGTAGTACATTGTTTCACTAACAAATCCAACTCACTGTGAGAACTTCTGCAGCTCTAAGGTCTGTCTGAACTAAACAAGGAAGAAGAAAGAGAGAAACTTAGAAGAGAACTTATATTGCATGCTTTAGTTGACTACAGATCAAAATCATTACAATAACTTAAGAAAATAATTATGTTTTAAGAAGCAGCATACATACACAAAAATGTAAGAGTTAAAGCTTTTCTGAGCTTGGTGTCATGTATTAGCTATAAGGTCCCATTGTGAAATCAAGGATAAAATAGTATTTGGCTTGAGAGGTAATATTGCTAATACACCCACTGAACACTACAAAAACATGAAGAAATACCTAATATCTCTTCATGCCTTCTTTTAAATAAACCTACATCATAATAGACCACGACTATGTCTAAAAATGGAAATGTTGCAGTGTTTCTTATATGGGCTGATCAATAAATAGAGAACTGAGCAACACTTCCCCATTATTAAAAATCATTTGAAGAAAATCATCCACAAAGAAACCATCTCCCACTTTTTTCCCCGTTCTGTTTTCTGTTTAATGAATGTGCTTAGACTGAGCTAACAAAGATTTGCGTTAAATGAGAAATGTAGTCTTAATGTTGGTATGCATTCTAGAGCCAAGAATATTCATAATTTTTTTGATATTTTGTTCTTAATAAATAGCCAAAACTAACTATAAAATAAATCGGAAAAACAAATACAACAAAATTAGAAGGTGTAAAACATGCTTCTGTGCACGTGCCACATGATGCACATGTGCAAACAAGCTACATAAAACAACTTATTATGAGGAGCAGCGACAGTTCCTTCCAAGCTGGAAATTCTGATAGTCTGCTCCCTAAAGTATCAGTAAATGGAAAGATAAAGCGCATAGTGCTGCTGCTTAATATTTCAACAGAAGGAGGAGGAGGTGGAGGAGGAAAGAAAGAAGAAGAAAGCTTAAAAGCAATATTTGAGTGACAAGCATCACTTAAAGGAAGAATAGAAAGTGGATTAGCAAACACCATTTTGTAAATCAAGTAGAAGTGTGCTGTGCACAGCACAGCTTTGTGAACTACCACACTCTGTCCTTCACGGAGACCCAGTTTACCCACATTCTTTAATGTGTAAACAGGACAGACTGGTTTTCTTTTTCAATCTCTTTAGAATCATTTAAAACAAAAGACTGAGCAAAATGAAAAAAATATGTAAACACAGAGGAGGCCACTGGCATTTTGATTGCTGCCCAAGAGTTAGCAGTCAGTTCCTCGCCTAGACACTACCACGAATTTCAATAAGAAATCAAGTTATAAAGCAATATTTGAAAGCAACTTTCAGAAAGGGACAGATAGAAGGAAAAAAAGGTTCTCAACCCAATATATGTTCATTAGCTTAAAAAAATACTATTTTAGCAAACATTACCAATGGTGAGCACAAATTCAACATTGTTGCAAAAATGACACAGTTTAAACATCCTGGGACCCATACGTGAAAATCAATCACTAACATGGCTATGTGCACAAAAGAGTAAAAGAATGTTTCTTTAAAAAATATATATATTAATCAAGAACTTCTTTATCATATTAAATTGTTATTCTTAGAAAAGCTGAAGAAAGTTAATGGTGCTCTACATATTTTTATCTTCTATTATTAACTCATCTCATTTGATGGTTTCTGAATTATATTTTTTCCATTTACAGTTTTTTCATATTTTGTTTGATAAGAATCCTGACCTTAAAAAGTTATAAAATTATGTTTTTTTTCTTTTTTTGCTACTTATTAATCCAAAAGAATATAAGCATTTGAGTCCCAGAGAATGTCAAAATGCCTTGCTACCTAAAAGGATATTAAAATAACAGAAATATCATCAAAGTCATGACATCAGAAATTTTGCAGCTTTTCACACAGGGATTAGAAATGCTTATTTCCTGAAGTTCCTTTGATTGTATCCTGGATTCAAGGACGTGCAATGTTACAGATAGAACCATTATGGTAAAGCCAATGAAAACAACATTATACAACATTTTACTGAGAATGTTCACTCCATGAGTTAATGGTCCTGTCCAGTTTATAGCAGTACTTCATTTAAAAGGCTTTTTATCCTCTCGGCTGGGTGAAGCTGAGTCTTTTTTGATGAAATGTACATTACAGTTTTGCTTCCTTAGCTACTTGGAGGATGCTATTTACGGTGTGGAGGAAGTGTGGTATTTCACAAATGCAATTGCCGCCAGCTCCTTACAGAACTCTTCCAACACGATCACACCCTCTAGCAATGTGATGTGGTCAATACTGGTAAAAGGAAAGCAACCAATAAGTCAGTTCAAGATATTAGCATTTTGTCAAATTTTGGTGAACTTTTTAGATTAAAAACATGTAAAGCACTGGCTTACATAGGGCCTTCCGGTTCCAAGCCAAGCAATCGCTTTCTGACTAACAGAAGCTTGGGAGTAAAGTCTGGAATACGCTGGATTCGAACCATAAGGTCTCCAACAACCTGCATCAGAGACAAAAGGAACCGCATTCCTGTTATCAACTACAGAGGGATTTTCAGGATTTAAAAAAAATCAATTTCCTATTTCTAAATGAAGAATGTCACCTTTTACAACTCGCATAACCATCTTTGGCAAAGGACTAATATATGTTCCTTAAAATATAAAAGTTACCATTTAAAAGAATGAATTTTTCTTTTTTTCCTCCACATGATATAGTAAAATAATGACTTCTTGACGGTATACACATAGTATTTTCCATTATGTAACAGTAAGTGCGTACAACGATAAGTAATGTTAGTGGACATGTTTATCGCAGGTGTTATCAATCCTAGAGAATATAACAAAACTAAGAACTCACCCTGACGATTACGGAGAAGAGGGATCTACAGCCAGAGGCAAGGTTTACATAAGGATCCAAAAGGTACTCGTGTATGTGTGGATGAGGAAAGAGAGAAAGTCTAGATAACACGGAGGTGACTTGTAAATTTACATCATATGGCTATTGAGAGGCAAAAAACAAAAAGACATTTGACATTATTTATGATGTATACACCTGAGCACTTCATTTACCATTTCAATTTATCTCTTTGCAAGAAAGGAAAATATTTCATCTTACTCCTCCCTCCACATGCTCTTCTACAATGAAAATACTGATGATGAAGTTGGCTCTTGCCATCTTAGTCAAAGTACATATATCACAATGCTAAAACTTAGGAGAAAAAAAGCACACATATAGATACAAAGAAAACATAAACACATAACATAGTCAGAATGTTTGTTTTACACAGGTTGTTCTAATTAATGAAAGTGTTCAAGATATTATCAAAACCCACCAAGGGCACATTGAATATAAGATCAAAGATAGAAGGAAGATATTAAGATCTTTTAAAATATAGTCATCTAATCGTAGAAATCGTATTTTTCACCTCTTATTCAGCTACTGTCAATCATCAAGAGCATGTATATAATAAAATAAAGCTACACATTACAGAACCTTCTCAGTAGAGGGAGAGTACTTGGGATAGAAATGACCTCCACGTGCCTCCCAGTGAGTGAAAAGGTTCAAAATGGTGTGACAGACAAGGATCATCTCATTTACTGCTAGAGCATGAATTCTCCCCAAACACTTGTACATCTGGATACAATCCCGCACACATTTTTTTGTATGTAGTAATGTACAAAACTTTGTAGCAGCAACATGATTTTACTTGAATTCTGGTTTTTAAATTTTTGATCTGTTTACCCCACATAGAAAACAACTTGGAGATGCTTTACAGACCACGTCAAAATCAAAGCAAAAGGCACAACTGTACAAAAACAGTTGCTGTTACGGTGCCTAGAGCTTTCAACAGAAATCTCATTCCTTCCAGTTTTCTTTTAAGCAGCCAAAGGAAACTGAGTGGCTGAGACAAAACTGACTCCCGTGGGAGGGCTGGGGGCGAGTGAGGAACACGTGCTGAGCCCGGAGGAGAGAAAAAGGAATTGGAACGAGTGAATGTTAACCACAGGCTTTGCCTGCTTCACTCCATTCGCTGAGCAGCTGCTAAGCCCTTGATAGAATGAACACCAATTAAGAAGTGAACATTTGGCATTCGGAGGACAGCACATGTGCCAGAAGACAGCAAAGGTGCTGTTACATGAAAAGAACCACAAGTTCTGCGTTGTAAGTCCAACTATAGCTTTTTTTTTTTTTTTTTTTTTTTAAACCACGAGATTCGTGAACACAGATTTTCTAAAAGAAGAAAAACTATCCTAAGGCACTCTTATTCACAATTGAGCCTCCGGCAAGATAAATGAAAGGAGATACTATTCCTATAGGAGGATAATTTGAAGAGCATATTCTCCAATTTGATAATATGTGCAACAGAACATAGCCTCTAGGACTCAATTCTTAACAAACAATGAATTCACATTAGGTTGTATTTTAGGCACAAAGGAAACGTTTGAAAAATCTTTAAGAAGAATGTATTTGGCAAAGCATGTGAACAAAATCACTTAAAATACAACTTCAGTACAGTTTTATATGTGACTATTTCTGGTAGTTCAGATTTTTAGGTCACTAAATTCTACCATTTATAGGAGCTTAAATAAGTCAACAGAATTTGGCTTTCAGCAAGGATATACGCTGCCACTTAAACTTGGTATTTTCTTTATAGGGTGTTACTTTGGTTTTTAGCTTTATTTGAACAAGAATCTATGTCCTTGGTTGTTTGAGGAGTTTGAGGGTGACTCAGATTATATTTAATGTGAAAAGGAAAACAAATCTCAGCTACACAGAAACTGTCCTACCTCTGAAATGGTCTCCATTTCATAATGGTAATAACTTTATTTATTTTTAAAGATTTTATTTATTTATTCATGAGAGACAGAGATAGAGAGAGAGAGAGAGAGAGAGACATAGGCAGAGAAAGGAGCAGGCTCCATGCAGGGAGCCTGATGCAGGACTCCATCCCAGGACTCCGGGATCAAGTCCTAAGCCAAAGGCAAACGCTCAACCTCTGAGACATCCAGGCATCCCTGGTAATAAATTTAAAATAAGCTGGCCTTTTTTCTTCAATATGAGTAACTCTTTCTTGGGTTAACAGTTAAGTATATCTATTATTCTGGATCTCTTTATTTTCTACTTTACATACAGTATTCACCTGAAATGAAAGCTAACCAGATTTTTTTATGTGTCAAATAGGCTTCGCCCATCTTTGAGCTCACACTAAATATTAGGCCTGAATTTTAGGACAATAAACTCTGACTTAAAAGCATACTAATGACAAAAAAAGAAAAAGCATCCTGATGTCACCAGTAAACTCAGTCTCAATCTTCTACTAAAAAGCTAAATTTACAGATAGCCAAAATAATATGATTTAGTCATATTAAATCAAAATTTAATATGATAGCCTCTGAAATTTCAAAAAAATCCTGTACTTATCAAGATTTTGCATTTTTTAAGGTATCTAAAATTGCTTTCTTCACTTAATTCTTAGAAGCAAAACTAAGTAGGAGGTTATGGCAAGTAATGTCAGGTTCACCTTGACAAAAAGAAAATGTGACCAGTGGCATAGTTGCCCAAGACTGCCCTCTTCTCTGTCAGGGCAGAGAGAAGCAGCTGAATCTCCCTACATTTTTCCTAGTGTTGTTTATATTCTGCTTATGAACCTCAGCATCTTACCATCTTTATAAAATCATCACAAATACTACTAAATGTTTGTGTTATAGGGTATTTTAGAAAAATTAACTTTGTGACAACACAATAATATGAATACTCAAGACATAATTTCTCAATTATGCACGCAGGAAACTAGCTACCTTCACTAATCATCCGGAGTAAATGTTTAATTCCAGGCTGGTTCCCTGAATCCTATTTCTTTTTTCTTTTTTTTAAAGATTTTATTTTTTGGGGATCCCTGGGTGGCGCAGCGGTTTGGCGCCTGCCTTTGGCCCAGGGCGCGATCCTGGAGACCCGGGATCGAATCCCATGTCGGGCTCCCGGTGCATGGAGCCTGCTTCTCCCTCTGCCTATGTCTCTGCCTCTCTCTCTCTCTCTATCATAAATAAATAAAAAAAAATTAAAAAAAAAAAGATTTTATTTTTTCATAAGAGACACACAGAGAGAGGCATAGACACAGGCAGAGGGAGAAGCAGGCTCCATGCAGGGAGCCCGATGTGGGACTCGATCCTGGGAGTCCAGGATTATGCCCTGGGCCGAAGGCAGGTGCTAAACCGCGAGCCACCCAGGGATCCCCCTTGAACCGTTTTTTTTTTTTTTTTGAACCCTATTTCTATACTAAGAAACTATAAGCAAACATTATCCTCAGCAAAAAAACATTTAGGAAAGAAAGTAAATGAAACTAAACCAAGCATGCTTATTAGCACACCAGGACTCATGATTATCTTTGAGATCTGACTACATAATGTTCTGACCAAAAAAAGGCTTGGAAAATCAAAGGTTTTTAAAGACCAAAGGTTTGAGGCTGTGGCTGTAGCAAACTAGCTGCGAGTTGCATTAATTGGAGTGGGGATCCCTCACTGACAAAATATGCCCAGAAGTCTGTCTTGCCTGTCACTGACTCCGGGTTACAGAAGAATGGCTGAGACAGCGTGGATGAATCAGCTCTGCACTGTGATGTGCTATCTGCCTGAAATAAAAAGAACTTAAAAGCATTTCAGGGTATCTGCTTCCAAGTATGCTTTTATTGTCAGCACTCCACAAACTAAAGGAAAAAAATACCCAAGATCCAAATGAGGCTTAGCAAACCAGCACAAAGAACACAGTGAACTGATGAGCCCTGCTACCCAGGGGGCTGACACAGCCATGACGTTTATAGCATAACGGCTGCAAGAGCCGGATTTAACAACCAACCAAGCAAACACGAGAAACACAGCGCTTGCTTTTAAGAGGTTAAAAGAAAAAAGGACTTTCTCTCTTTACTGATTACTATCACAGTACTGACTGAAGTCTAACCCGGTAAAATACTTCTTAAATTATAATTTCTTTATTTGGCTTCCTGGTTATTGAGGACAGCCTGCTTATGGAGTATATTTCTTTTATAACTCCCTATGCTCACATAAATATTTAACAAAATGCTAAAAAAAAAAGAACAAGTACTTTAATATACAATTTTAAATTAATTCCAAATTGGTTAAGACAATTTCTATGTCAAGGCAAGTATTATGCCAGGTGGTTTTACTTCAAGTGTATATCCCAGGGTGGAAAGCATTTCAAAGCTCTATTCGTCACTTTGTTCATTTGTCAAGGAGGGAGGGAGGGAGGGACGGATTCTGTAATCCCAAATTCATTTCTCCTGACAGTCAGAGAGACACACACACAGCAACATACCAGCTGATGGTGCTTTTATCTACCTTGGAATAAGTAAATTCACTTTTTACATTTCACCTCCCCCTTATGAAAATGGTATCATTCGTAACTTCTTTGTCTGAAGAAGCAGATTCATCTAATATTGTTCTGTAATTTTAATGAGACTGGAGTGTTCAGGATTCAATTTGAAATGACATTTAAGGTCCTTTGAATTGAACTTTACAAGGTTGACTCAATCTGTATCTGTAATAACTGTACTAACTTGAAAAAAAAAAAGGCTTTCTAAGTTATAAAAGGAAAGCATTCCAATCACCTCCAAAACATGTGAAGGCTATTAGGACAATAGTCTACAATGAGAAGTAAAATATATAATTCTATAACAGTCGTCAGGCCAAATAAAGGCTCTTTGAACATAATGAATGCATCAGAAATGCACCATTCATTGGCAATCAAGCTTTAATGAAAAAGTCATCTAGTGGAAAAACTAAGAGAACACGGCTACTTTATTAAAGATATAAACTAAGATTTGAGATGAACCCATGGTGAATGGTAACAAAATAACATGAAAATTCATATTTTAAAGCTTATTATTACCTGATCAAGAATTCTTCCCATTCTGTCAAATAAAACTTTCAAAAAATGACCTTCAAAGAAAGTAGCTTCTAAATTGCACTTTTCCAATGCTTTTGGAGACCCAGGCCACTCCCATCTTAAGCAGATAGCACAGTAGTCCTGGAACTAGGGAAAAGCATTCACATAGTCAAAGGAGAACCAACCGAAACAAACTGAGATTAAATAGAAATCCCTCTATTAGGCATATAAGAATCCGACTGAGGGTCGAGTGTTTGTTCCGTGGGAGGCACCCGTAGCAGAGGGAGGGGCTCAGGTAACATGCTGACCAGAGGCACAGGTAAGCTTATAATCACCAAAACCAACATATGCTGTTGAAAAAATGGGCATGTGTTTTCCTTTAGAGGAATTTAACTCTACTTACTTTCATCACAGATTTAGGGATGCAAAGTAAGTCCTAACCATATTTTCAAATCTATTTGAAAACATTGCATGCAAATAGATGAACAGAGGTGCATTGTCCAAGCAGGCAGGTCTGGCTCTCCTATGCCGTCCTGTCCCGGGACAAACCTGGTGGCCTAGAGTATGCTCTGCAGGTGGTTTGCTACCCTCACCGTGAGAGGAGCACAAACCTGAGTAAGCATCTAGAATCCTTTACACTGCATTTAGCTGAGTAAATTTTATGTCTGTTGAATCTCATAAAATAATCAGGGCTGGTATTTTGTGTATTTTTCTCTTCATCTTTCTAGTAATTCATTTTTATTATACTTTACCCAAGTGTCAGTCTGTAACAGATTGGAAATAGTAAGGAACTGGTCCTTCACTACACAGCTTTAAACAATATGACTTAGATGAGTACAAGAAGATCTCATATAACAAAAATAAATTTGAAAAGTGTTCCCTGATATATAATTTACTTGAATTTAAACAAAAGAAATTTAGAGCACAGTTTTTAACCCCAGCCTTTCCCTTTTCAGATTCCCCTTATTCAATAAAGCAACATTACTCTGACCTCTCTAGTTTGGAAATTACCTGAAATTAAAACAAGACATATTCTCCCACAAAGTACTAACTTCAACTTTTTTTTTTAATATATATATTTTTTTATTTATGATAGTCGCGCACAGAGAGAGAGAGAGAGAGAGAGAGAGAGAGAGAGGCAGAGACACAGGCAGAGGGAGAAGCAGGCTTCATGCACCGGGAGCCCGACGTGGGATTCGATCCCGGGTCTCCAGGACCGCGCCCCGGGCCAAAGGCAGGCGCTAAACCGCTGCGCCACCCAGGGATCCCCTAACTTCAACTTTTAAAAGAGAAACATACTTAAAACAATCAAAAAGCCAGCTTCTTAAAAAAAAAAAAAAGCCAGCTTCTTCAGTTATTTTGTGAGTTTTAAACAATTTGGCTTTTGATAGACTTTTTCTATCCTAAACCACACCCTAACATTTAATAAGTTTTCCATTAATACCGTCTGAAATTCTCACCTAGAAAGTAATAGTTTTAAAGTTTTTTATCCCTCTTGTTTTCTAATATTTCTGAATCTACAGTAAGTACATTTGTAGAAAATGGAAATGAAACTTTACAGAAAGAATAAATGCAGTTTAAAAATCCAGTAGATAATACTGACATGGGTACCACTTGTCCTGCCTTCACCCTCTTGTCCCTGAAGGCACTAGCTACACAATTACTCTACTCACTCATGCAGTCATCTGGACTTGCATTCTGGCTATAGGCATATGCAAATTAATTAGATAGAATAGCACACTTCAATCTCAAAGATTTAAATGAAAATTAAATATGCATCTTTCTGACTTGAAACATTTCAAAATTGGGAGTTCTGTAAAATGCTAGAGAGAGGAAAGAAGACCGAGGGAAGGCTACTTAGTTTAACACTTCAGAGAAGACCTTTCAGAGAGTCCTTTCAGGGAGGTAGAAAACTCCAGCACAGGAGACAGGGCATGGGGTCCTTGTAAATAACTGTTCAGGTGAGAAAAGAGGTGGAAAAGGGAACAGAGAAGTCTTGAGACAGAGAAAGTAAAAGGCAAAGTTAGGTCACCTGCCCAAAGTTAAAGTGGCAAGAAGGAGTTCAGGTCCTGCAGAGAAAGGGAAACCTTTGGAGAAATGACTGTGGGCAATTGGGACAAAGCATGCACGTGCACTCATTAGAGTACATTTCCAAAAATTAGCCACTTCACTTACCTGCCTATGAGCATCTCGGAGGTAGGTGTCATATCCAGTGCCCTCAACATGGTAGGATGATTTTGCTTCATCGGGTACCAGACAGAGAAAACTTAAATGAAAAAAGCCACAATAAATAACATAAATATTCCTACAATTCAGTATCTATGTATCTTAAATTATCGAGCGATATATTCAGTTTAGCAAAGTATGGCTGCAAATGGAAACTTAAAAAATAAAATGATCCATTCTTAAGTACTTAATTTTGAATCAGTTTTACCGATTACTCTCTCATATCTTAAAGGTTTTATTTAAAAATCACTCATTCCACTCAAAGTAGAAGTAAGCCTAAGAGGACTCATGTTACAGCATAATGACATACTGCCACAGTATCTGTTAATTTCAAGAAACTGGTTTTACGTAATTAAACTGGAGATTTTTATGCACCCTAATCTTGCATCGTGGGCCGCATGCAATTTCTGTAAAGTCACCTGCCAGAACCAGGCAAATCATGGTAGCACCACGAAAGAAGAAAGAGAACATTTCCTGAGAAAGAGTACTTAAAAAAAAAAAAAAAAGTAAAACCACAAAATCAAAAAGGAATGGCCCTACACTTCACAAACGTGAGTACATGTCCAAGACGGACAAGTTGTCAAAGTGGACATTTTCCATGTGGCTCCAACTGGGAATGACTTAAAATTATTTATATTAAAAAAAAGCAGGGCACTCTGAAGGTTTATTTAACCACTATTACTCGTTTTTGTTTCTATGTTAAGTAGAGCTTTCCTCTTTTGCTATGGATTATTGCCCCTAGGCTGTCACTTGCTACATAAACATGACAAAAAGCTGATATAATCTTTAGACTAAAGAAGGGAAGACTGAATTCACTATATATCTCCGTAACAATCTAAGAACAGAGCTATTACAGGTTATAAAAACAAGAAGAGATGTAAATCAAATTTATACAGCAACTCACCTATTTACAATTTTATGGACTTCAGTTTTCCCATCATTTTTGGGGTGCTCTGGAGTAGCAGGGGGTGAAGAACTAAGCCACTCTTGATTTGACAGAGTGTTATCCGGTGAAATGTCAGTAAATAACGGGTCTTCTTCTAGATCTCTACGTTTAATTTAATCACGTATAAAAAAAGACAACATTTTATCACATTTTCTAAACCAGCAGATTCTCTGCCATATTCTTAGAAAACATAACATAATTTTGCTATTAAAAAAAGAATTACATTTTATAGGGAATTTAACATAAAATCTTACTCAAGAATATATTGATTTTGTTCTGTTTAATGAATACCACTTGTGATTTAAAGGGATGGTGATACCACGGCATCTAAACTTAATTTTCAAAGATCTTGTGAACCGTTAGAAGCATTTCTTTATGAATTAGGTAGAGGAGGAGAGAGAAAATGCTAAGCTTGCAGAGTTGGGTGGGAACTTACACAGCTCCTGCTATCAATCCGTTCTCCACCACATCTTTATCTTCTGGACACACAGGTTTATATTCCGTATAATTTCTTTCTTCGAGATTTCTTAGGACCAAGTTGTAAAGAATGTGTTCATTGGGTTTTTGTAAAAGATGTTCAAACATTCTTAATGTCATTATGCTTATCTGAAACCAAAATGATAAAGGGTAACTGAAAAACATCTCTGCATAAACGATTCTTCTTGCCATCCTATAAGTCATGATTTAGATTTTCAAGCCACGTGAAGGAAGAAGCTGTATTCAAGACATCACAAGGACATTCCAACAGTATTTCCAAGAATCTAAGACCAACTCTAAATCTTACATAGCTTACCTCATCAGATATGTGATCACAATGCTCTATTAACCTGTGTCTTAAAGGGTGTCTACTAATATCTGCCAGAGTTTCCGGTTCCCTCTGTTCTCCAAGGATAAAAAATACCATTTCTTGCAGCAAAACGTCAGAGGTTACTTGCCGAACAATGCGATGGAGCAGAGCGGTTGATGTCAGAATACCCATCTCAGAACTGGGCATAACAAACAGGTAATTATTAGTGGGGAAAATAACACTGAGTAGCAATTTGGGTTTTTTTTTTTTTTTTTTTTTTTTTAAGGAAAAAGGCCACTCACGTTTGCATCAACTGAGGTTCCATAACTCCAATAAAGAATCTTTCATGAACGGCTCTGGCAAGAGCCACAGCAGCAGTCTAGAATGCATAAGGAGCAGCATTATCTTTCTCTTTAATGGAAAAGAGAGATTAACCTGTAACACTGCTGTCCATCTGAATTAATGGGGAAACACAAATTTGCCTGTTGACCATCTTGCTGATGGCATATAAGCCTGGACTAGATGTTAGCTACGGGGTCATTTATATTTCATCTAAATTTCCAAGAACAAGATGAAAAGGACAAAAATATTATCCCAATCGCCTTATAGTAAATGGAGGGAGGCCAATGTCACCTCAAGGAGCTTTCTATTGTAATACTTAAAGAAATATAGGGCAGAACTTGAACTGGGATTTATTACAGAGTTGTAACATACACATACACACCCCCCACACACACACTTTTAAATTTTATTTAGTTGTGTTTATTGTACTATCATCCTAAAACAATTAAGATCTATTTGGGGATATAAACTGAGGAAGTTTTACTTAATAGACATTTATATTTTAAAATTATCAATAAGTAACAGAAACAAAAAAACCAAACCTTTTGTGCTTCCTTTATGAGTTGATCACAATAATCAAACCAGGAAAGAAATGAAATTAAGGCTCGTTTTCCTGGAAATGCTGAAGCATCTTCTTTATGACTATATGAGTCCAAGCTGTAAGGTGTGGGAAGAAATACTTAGTCCGAAGATATCCCAGAGAATTAATTCAATTCAGTGCATATGAAACAATGAATGCCCGTGAATGAACTTATGCAGTTAGACACATGTACACAGCCCATGCTGGATGACTATTAGAAGCAGGTCATATAAAAGAAAGCCATGGATAAGAGAAAACCTCTTAAATGAAAGTTGTAAATAACTTTCACTCATTAAGGGGGAAGATAAAGACTAATGCAGAATGCCATCTGCAGAGGGAAAACCACATGGCAGTTCCTTGTGCTCCCCCATAAATTTGACCAAGTCGTGGGAATGAAATGTTGGAGGTTCTCAGGTGCTAGGAGGGCGTGCAAAAGGAAAACAAGTGGGCTGCTTCTCCTCCCACCGTAAAACACGATACAGTAGTAAAGGGAACCTATGGATCTGCCCCACAGATGCTGCAGAGTATCAGATAGAAAGAGACAAGTAAAATACACAGAAAAATTATGACAGGTTATTATACTAAAATGATGGGATTTGGGGTACTTTTCCTCATGCTGCTTATAAACTCATAAATGCTCTGCAATAATAATATTTTCCTATGAGAATTATGGGGAGCCCCAAAACGTGGATTGGGAGGGTAGAAGCATAAGGTAGGAGGGGAGAGTCCATAAACACGAGCCACAAAACATGAAACTGCCCGAGAGGCTGCAGGACGTTTCTAAAAGGATGTTCCTTCTTTCAGGAATCAAAATAAATAAATGAATAAATAAAAGTCATTGGTTTTCATGTAATTAGGTCTTATCCGACCACTATAATGGAAAAATAACTTAACTCTGTAACAGCTGGATTGTTCCCATATCAATTCATTCCTGACTAGTAACAAATTTAAAACAAGCCTCAGAAAATAATCCCATTTAATGATCACAAGCAATGTCACATTTTCCACGACAGGTTTATATCACTGCAAAATAGATGAATTTAAAAGTATAGGTGTAAGAAACCGCTCCTACAGGAAAACACAAATGATAGTTCTTACCCCCAGTTAATTGCTTCCACTGTTTCGATATCTAACGGGTCCACCGACTGAGGTAGGGCCTTGTACAGGGAAGCGAGTCTGTCTGTCAGCAGTTCGCACAAACAAGTGCTCTGCGTGAGGCATTTGGCAGCTGCAGGCTCTGGCAAGCTTACTAACAACATCAAGCCTTCACAGGCCTTCACAGCTATTCGGCCATCCTGAGGGGAGAAAACACACACCCCTTCAATTCTTGAATTAGCTGCGTGTCAAGTTGTTTGGGAAAAAATTCAACTGAAAAAGATCTAATGTTTTACACAAAAATAAGAATAGACTTTTTTTTTTTTTTTCCTATTTCAAATATACGTAACTGTGATCAGGTTAGGGGGTAAGAGTAAGGAAGACTCACAGGACTTCTCGTGAGATTTAACAAGGAATTCACTAAGTTGTAATCCTGGTTTGGACGAACAACTGTGGCCTCTGGCAGTGAGGTGACAGCAAGATTATCTAAGCTGGTGGACAGGTCATCTATCTGCTGAGGAGGCTCGTCTTCCAACTCTGTGTGCTCCAGCCTCATGGCACCAGACAGTTCCTCTGGCTGACAGGACTGTCCTGTGTCTGTTGACAAGCAATCTTGACCTTTCAATGAGTCTTCTGAAATTACATCTGGTGTGCCTTTGGAAGCCAATGATTTCAACTTATTCTGAAAAAGAATACATGTTCTGCAAGATTCACACTAGAAGACTTATAAAACAGAAATCATATTTTTATCTGTTTTTCTATAATTCACATTCAATGTAGCAATAGATAAAAGTGTTACAACAAATGAAAATACTCAGACTTCAACAAGCTGTGCTTTAGATATTTTAAAATTGCCCAGGAATTTATAACACTCTTTCTGCTAAGTACAAAATGGTTTACCATGACCATAAGCGATGAACAACACTAGTGATAACTACGTGACTACTGCTAAAAACAACTGATGTTAGTGAAGAAAAAAAAGAATCAGGAAGTTTCAATGGGAATTAATTGTTTTCTCATCACAAGGCTCTATAGAAAATATATAGCCTTGATGTTGATTCTTCTAAGATGAATTTCCTTAGATGATTTTTCTGTTTTCCCCCTTGTACCTCTGCTTTACTTTAAAAAAAAAAAAAAAACCTCATTACTCTCAGGACCTTTTTCTTAAGTGTTCTTGATGAGAAAAGAAAGATTTACTTGAAATGTTGGCCTCACTTCCCCAACACATACATAAATATGAGGAGAAAGGGTGCCTGGGTAGCTCAGTTGGTTAAGCGTCTACCTTTGGCTCAGGTCATGATAGTGGGGTCCTGGGATCGAGCCCCATGTTGGGCTCCCTGCTCAGCAGGGAGTCACCTTCTCCCTCTCCCTCCTCCTACTCGTATGAACTCTCCCTCTCTCAAATAAATAAAATCTTAAAAAAAAAAAAAAGGAATCTTAACCAAAGCAAATCATTAGTTTTAGGGAAAAAGTGTTTTGCTTTCCATTTGAACCTAAGAGCAAAAACCAAATCATGCACACAGGTTAGAAGTCATCATGAACCAGCTTCTCCTAAGGGGCCATCTCACCGTGTTTCACCCATCACAGAGGTGAATTCAATGCTGACTGAATTCAAAGTTCTATTTCCAAAGTTATAGTATACTTATTATAAATCATTTTATTACAGTTAGACCAATCTTCTTGAGAAACTGAGCCCACAGCACGTTAAAACAACTTTGTAGAACTCCATGAATCCTCCAAACAACTCTCCAATTTCCTACAAAATCAGTTGCATATCACAGTCCTTATGAATACAAAACACTTGATTCCATCTAAAATACTAGTAAGATTGTTGGAAATGGTATCTCAGATAAGAATAGCAAAGGGAAGAATAATATTAGAATAGCACTCATTAGATGAGTATTTCTCAAAGTGTGACTCAAGACTGTTGGTGTCATGGTCTTCTGTAGAGCTTGAGAAAATGCAGATTCCTAGGTCCCACCCAGACCTCCTGAATGAGAATATCTGGAGGTGGAGCCAAGGAATCTGCATTTTAATTTATTACTTATATTACTGAAGTATTCTTGACAACGTTATATTGATTTCAGGTATACAACACCGTGATGGAATCTGCATTTTTAAAAATGCTCTCTAGGTGATGAGGAAGTGCTATCTTCTCTCACACTTTGATTCTTTTTTTTTTTTTTTTTAGATTTTATTTATTTATTCATGATAGACAGAGAGAGAGAGAGAGGGAGAGACACAGGTAGGTAGAGGGAGAAGCAGGCTCCATGCCGGGAGCCCGATGCGGGACTCGATCCCGGGACTCCAGGATCGCGTCCTGGGCCAAAGGCAGGTGCTAAACCGCTGAGACACCCAGGGATCCCCCACACTTTGATTCTTAATTGAAACTGTTCCCTTTCTACTCCTATTAGGGATTTAATGATAGCCCCTGCACATTTATACACATAACCTCCAAATCTCTTGAACCCAGACTTCTTTCCTAAATCACAGATTTGCAAGACCAAATACCTGCCAATTATCTCTACTAGGATACCAGGAGGACTCAAAACACCCAGAACCATAATTACTCTATGCCCCTCAAAATAAGCTCCCTTGGAGCTCCCTTCTTTCTGTTTGCAACAGCCTTACTAGTTCAAAAATTCAAGCACTCATCATCTTTTCTCTTGCTTCCTGCACAAGCCCATACAGAATCTACCTCTGACGTCTCTTGAATATATTCACTTCATTCCATCCCAGTGCTTCCAACTTATAGTCCTTGTTGGGGTTACTACCTCAGCCTCCAAGCTGGTTTCTTCTGCTCTTCTTTTTACTCTCAAAGGAATCCACGGGGCAAGATGCCGCCACCAGTTTAACTGAAGGCATACACACCATCATGTAATAACAACCCTTCTCAAAAATCTTCAATGACTCCCCAGTGACTTCAAGTATGTTCAAATTCCTCATGCTGTCATTCAAAGCCTTTGACCCTTCCTAGTCAATCTCTCCAGGCCCTTTTCTTATCACATATCCTAATTACACTGTTTCATGAACACACCACAAACTTCTATATCTTCATTCCCTTACTTATGTTCACCCATTGTTATCTGAACATCTGTCAGGGTTCATATCAAAGATAATCTCTTCCATGACGTCTTTCCCAACAACCTAGAGCAGATGTAATCCCTTCATCCTAGGAAGACTTAAGGCACATTCACATTTACTTTGTACCCTTCTTATGATACTCACCTTACTCTACCTCAGGTTATATAGCCTTGTCACCAGACTATAAATTCCTTTAGGGCAAAAACTGTTCCTAACTCATTTACCTTGGGCACTTAAACCATAGCAGATGCACATAGTAGCTGATATACATGAAAAGAGAGATTAGATTTCAGGGGATACATGCCTGAGGACTACGAAGTACTTTTGTTACTCTCTATACTTATCAGTAAAATAGCTGCATTTCTCTAAAGATTCATTCATTATTAATTAGGCAGTTATTATACATTATACTGGACACTAGAGAAGCTGTGGGAACCCAAAGATGAATGAGACAAGTCCTTGTCCTCAAGGAGCTTACTGAGCAGCAGGAGAAAATAAAACACATTTCAATAACTCTAATGCCAGGGAGACTGAAATAAACACATCAAAAGCTTATGAATAGTCTTGAGAAAACAGAGATGCCTATCACCTCAGGCTGTAGAGAAGTACATGCTTTAAAATGGGTGTATTATAGCAGACATGCCACTGATTCTGAAGAGTGTTCTCTGTAAGCAAGGTCTGAACATAAATGCTTCCCTGAAGACAGGTAAACAAAGTACATCTCACCATCAACACACATACGCTCACACATGTTCTCTGCTTCTGATCTATGGCTGTGTACTTAGGAACGGGTTTTAGACATTCTGAGAAAAAGTCCTTAAAGCATAAGCTTGGGCAAAAATCCACTCACTGAAAATAACTAAGGTCAGCTAAAAAAACTTTAGTAAGTGACCTTTGAGAAGAAAAATCCCAGACTTAGCTAGATTGAGATATTTGATATACTTATATCAAAAACCAAGAGGATTAATACCACCCTAATTAATAAACCCTTAAAATCTGAAATCATAAGTTTATTCCAGCTAATTTGAAGTATACCTTCAAAATACGAGGTACATCATGAAAACCTGGCATTCAAAATTCGTATCACTACCTAGAAACTTACAAGCATGCCACTGTGCAGCTTGGCTGCTTACCCATCTTCAGTAAGCATGTAGAAGAGGATCTTGGGTGACTTATTTAATAAAGTGAATCAGAAAACAAACCCATCTACTACAACGGTTAAAATTTTTAAAAACAAAGCAAAACAAAACCCTGACAACACTCACTCTGACAAGGATGTGAAACAATGGGAATTCTCATATGCTGTTGGTAGGATGCAAAATGATAAACCCATTGGGGTAAAACAGTATGGCAGGTTCTTATGAAAAAAACTATACACTTGGCACAGCATTCAGCAACTCTACCCTTAGGCATTTACCCAAGTGAAGTGGAAATCTAAAACCACACAAAAAAACTGGGTGTGAATGTGAGGCAATTCATAATTGTCTCAAACTGGAAACAACCACAACTCCCTCAACGGATGGACGAATAAACAACTGTGACATGTTCATGCAATGGGACACTACTCAACAGTATCAAGGACCAAACTCGTTAAATCTCAAAGGCTGGTGACATTTTGTGACTTTCTGTAAAAGAGGAAACCTGTGACAGGAGCATATCAGTGATTGCTGGGGACGGGCACGGAGTGAGAAGGGGACTGCAGGAGGGGTGCGGAACTGCTGTGTTGCTTGATGGTGGTGGTAGCTACACAACTGTGGGTTTGTTAAACTCAGAGAACCATACTCCAGAAAGAGAAAACTGCAGTGTACGTCACTTACACCTAACCTAGGGGAAAAAAGAAAGACGACAAAAAGATATAAAAAAGAACTAAAAAAACAAAATTAATTTTTCTACTATATTTCTAAATGACTTCACTGAGGAAAAAAAAGAGGTGAATGATAGAAGAAAGTACACAAAGTATTTTCTGATTTAAAACTGGAAATAAAACCCAAAATATCAATTGGTGTAACATAAAGTATGATCCAGTGACTATGGCTAAGAAAATACAGTACAGGATACTAGAGTGATCGCAACTGCTATGGAGAGGTAACTTGTGATTTTGCACATCCAGCCAAATCCGCACACACCACCCCCACCTATCCCAGGCCAGATTATCCACGCTCCACACTAGAGCAAACCTGGCTGAAAACATGATAGCTCATAAGCTCCCGTGACTTTGCCCTCCTTGATTTTCCCCTTCACACTGCACCCCTGCTAAACTTCGACTCTGTATTTGTCCAGGCTGTGTACTGCCCTGTGTATCCAGCTCAACTACTTTCTCTGAAAATGTCTTCCTCAGAAGACTTCAAGTTAAAACAGGGATCATCAATGAAAAATAATTCTAGGAAGTAAAACAAGCCCTATGACACCCATAAAATGTAATTCCTTCTAATATTCTTTATAGAATTCGATTCTTAAAATAATTTTATTTTTTTTTTGAATTTTTATTTATTTATAATAGTCACAGAGAGAGAGGCAGAGACACAGGCAGAGGGAGAAGCAGGCTCCATGCACCGGAAGCCGGATGTGGGATTCGATCCTGGGTCTCCAGGATCGCGCCCTGGGCCAAAGGCAGGCGCCAAACCGCTGCGCCACCCAGGGATCCCCGATTCTTAAAATAATTTTAATACAAGCATGCTTCGAAGGTTGACAAGAAGAGTATCATACCTCCAGAAAAAAATTAACCAAGTAGGGATTTTGTTTCAGCTTTGCACACACGATACAGAGAAACTGGATTTCTTCGTTTTCTGTAGGTGTTGCAAGGACTTCACCACAGAGTCGAATTAATTTCTGTTAAAAAATTTTAAAAATGTTTTTCAAGCTTAAGTTACTTTTTACACATATTGTAGTAGCCATCTGCTTGCCTTATGAGTATTTACTATTTTCAAATAATGCAAATATACCTTGCATTTTTCAGACAGAGCACTATTTATAATCATCCATTACAAGAGAGACTTACTAGTAACAAGTTTTTCAATACGTTACCCTAAAAAATTAATAAGTACACAATAAACTCCTTGAGATATCATAGAGATAAATTAAAGGAAAAACTAATGTTTCAAGTTTTAAGACAAAGATATATAGAGTATAAAATACAAAGTCATGCATACAAAAAACTCAAGTATTTGCTAATTTACATGTTATTTTTAGAATAATTTCCTTTATTTTAACTCTTAGAAAGATCACTTAAAATTATTTATATACTAAAAGAAATCAAACCAAATAATTTTTTGTACGGGGAACAAAAATACCTGCACTGGCCTGTGGACATTAATGTGTGGAAGCAGCGGCTGTTGGATTCTTCCCAGGAGTTTAGTGTAGAACACCAAAACCTGCTGTTTCATTCCTGGAGGACACTGGGCACATAAAAAAGGAAAAGCAAACAAGAAGAGAACAGATGATACAAACACACTTACTCAAAAGCTTAAAGAACAGGAACGTGAATGTATTTGCTGAACCTCAAATGTCAAGGCCATCAGCCAATTAATCAGTCTTTCAGAATAAAATTCACAATCAAATATTAATGACTGGTATTCTAGAAATAAAATTATATCTGGGATTATAATACCGCTTATGGAGCCACAGGCTGATGTAATGACACACAGCATGGTAATAGCACACTGCTGAAATCAGAGTTTGGTTCCAGCAACATCAAGCTGTTTGTATTCTAAATGCTAGGATAACATGAAACTACTATGGTTAACTCCATGGGCTAAAACAGAGGCAGAGTCTTGTTACCTCCACTAACAACAGGTAATCGATAACTTTCCATTACAGAGATGGAGGAGTAAACAAAACCTTCTAACATGTATATGTAAGTAAAGGGAATCCTCTGGTATAAAATGCTGAGATTTATTCTAACAATGCTGTTTTGCATTAGTTGCAAAATTATTTACATTACGATTACTATAAACAATGAATATTTAATAAAGAAGTTTTTGTAACATGCCAGCTGCTTTAAATCTTTACTGAAAACTAGGTAAACCTGATGATTACTTATATAGTGGGTTAACAGAGCACAAACTAACAAGGCTATGTGTTCTATCACTAAGCTGCTTATACTGCCTTGCAATTAAAATACAGTCACAAAATGAGCATTTTCACAGCATCATCATAGACATGCTATCCGGAAATGGTATAAACGATAATCTCATGTACAGTAATATTTTTTTAGATAGCAGATCCTCTACATTATTCAGATAAAACAATAATATTAAACAATCACCAGTATCAAAATTAATTTGCTAGTGGTACAATTATTAACTTTCACTCAAAGAGCAATTAATCAATTCAACTTAGTGTTGTACTGTCCCTCTCTTCACAGGACAGGGGAGTGGATGTCCTGCCTCAAAAATATAAATTGCATCAATTTAACTTAAAATGAATTGGAAGTATTAAAGACTTAGTTAAGAGGAAACTGTCCATAATACCACTATTCATAACTCTATCTGGTGTTTAAACATGTTGATTTTTTTTTCCAGTTTTATTTTCATGTAAATTATAGGAATTCACAGAACAGAATCTCAGATTTTGAGATTTGGAGGAGGCCCTTGGTGATCACCTATTTGATCCAAAGAGAAAGCAGATTAAGCAAAGGGACTTTGTAGATCATAGTACATTAGTGACAAAGCCAGGCACCACAAAGTTCTTCCCCTTCCCTTGCACTCCCACAGGCTTTGAAACTCGCCTTTATAAGTAATCTGAAAGTTTCCTGTGGCATATTTTTCATATCATAAATATCAGTTTTGCAAAGAGTTCCCAAGATTCACGAGGCCTCAAAACTTAACGTGGCTGCACTCAGTAGAGATAATGTCAGAATAACCAGTGACATTCTCTTTTAGGATTATGAAAAATAATTCCTATTTTCCTAACCCAATTTTCACTGGGTTCCTTCTCACATCCTTTGATTGTAAGTACATGTACCTGAGTGTATTTTCATAAATGTTTATACGGTGATTCTAAGCAGCCTAAGTACCAGTTGTTGTTTAGAGCCTTTGGGGGCTTTGCTAGCTCTCTGGAAAAATCACATCCACGCAGGCTGCACATTTTCTGTTTTACACAATCCTCACTTGAATCCCACCATGCTTAATACATACCTCTAAGATTAAATTTAGTACATGGTAGCTTCTTTATCTCTAAGACATTAATGCATGTATTACATGCCCAAGAACATAATGGGGATTAGGAACTTACGTCAGCTTTTCCTAAGGTATATAATGTTTCCAAGATCTTGTGATGAAGTAAATATTCCATACATGGCCCTGTCACTCCAAATTCTCGCTCACGTTCTTCTTGCAGCAAAATACCTAACATCTGGTCCAGATGAGAGGGAATATTTGTATCTGTCACTGGGGCTTTATCATCTAAATTAAAAAAAAAATACATCAAACATTCAAACCTTTTAAAACTGCCTACTTTGTACCTAAAGTACTCCTGATATTTCCCTGTTCCAATTCAAACTGAGAAAAAACTCAACTACACACTCAAGTGAAGTTTATGTTCATGGAATAATTATCTTTGCCAGGATTTAGGTGGTTCTTTTGCCATGTCCTTACTCAAAAATGGAATCAATATACTGAAATATATTCTATTAACTTTGTCCATGCATAATCAAAATAAGAACCACTTATATGGAAATAGCAACATGATCAAGAAAAATACACATAACATCAAAGTTTTGTAGGTACTTACAATTAAAAAATTTTTTTTTCAAATAGCCAGTTCAGAAGATCTGAACTTTTAGATCTGAATTTTAAGTCTCTTTATATAGAAACAGGTTCGCCTTAAACATTAAGCTGAATTAGGTAGGATATATAGAGAGGGCAGGTTCTGTTTCTGAATGCTCCTGAATCACAATGTAACACTGGAAGTCAGACCTCTTAGAGCTCCTAATTCATCTCCATCTGTGAAAACATGAGGAGCCCAAAGAAATACTTCTGACATCTCTCATTAACAGGCAGCTATTCCCAAAGGCAAAACTTCTTCTCAGGAGAATTCTTATTATGTACTATCGATTTTTTTTTAAGATACAAATTCATCGATACTTTTTCAAGTTCTTAGTTGAACTTGAAAAATCACATGGTTTTATCAACTTATCCATATTGTATGAGGGCTGAATTGCTCTTAACAATATGTGAAGTTTTACAGAATGTTTAAATACAAAATATACTTGGAAATGCCAAGTTCTTACTCATGTCTCTGTTGTCATTTACTTAGTACTTCCATAGTAGGTGCAACACAATCCTAGTTTGATTATGTTGCTTTGCCTGTGTGCATGTGTATGTATGTGTGCACACACCCACGAGCACACACACACAGTATGAATCATAACTCTAAGCCTATAGGGAAAACAATGGAAAGACAATGGTCACCCTTGTTTCCAAGGACGATACATGTACCAAATCTGATAGAGTATGTGGCAGGTACTAAGAACATGGAGCTGGGAGTTAGACAATTTGCATTCAAATTTTGGTTCTGTCACTTGTAACTGGATGACCTTGGTGAACTACTTAAGCCTCAGTCACCAACTCCTGTAAAATGGGGCTAATCTATACCAGTAAGTGTTGTAGTATGACTTTAATGAAACTATGGGTATGAAGCTTGGTGCCTTGACACATACTAAGAAGAAGTGTTAAGTTAGGATGTTTCATTTCATATTCTTCTAAAATGAATAGCCGGCCACTAATAGAAGATAATCTGCAAGTTTGCTTTAAATTTATTTTGTTTAATGTTTTCTCCCCTTTAATTACAGACTTTATATAAACATGCCAGGAAAGAATCCATGTTCAAGCATGGTTTGATTACAGTTATTAGAGGAGAAAAACGACCAGAAAGGCTTTGTAAATTGAGAGACAAATGAATTTTAAATGTGATTTGATAGGATTAAAATCCTAGCTCCCCCTTCACTCCTGAGCTATATGTAAGTCTCTCTGCCTCTCGTATGCCATACCTTATATCCCTTTGTCCTCCTTCTCGATCTTGCACTCCTACTCATCCTTCAAAACCCAGGCTATGGACTCTGCCTTCTGTTTCTCCCTGCTTTGTTCTCTGTGTCTCTCTCACATACACATTTGTCCCATCTTTTATTATAACATACATACTTGTTTCTCCTAAACTGCAAAAAAAACTCATTTAAAGCAAGAACTTAAAGCCTTTTCTTTGAAATGTTTCCTTAAAGCTATGGAGGAGTGAAAAATTCACAAGGGCTAAGAAGAGTCATTTGAAAAGGCAGTTTCTTTCAAAAAACTTTCCTATAGATCTGCTGTTTAAATACCTATATTAAGGTAGATATTATATTTTACATGGAAAGGTATACATACATTTTGCGTCTAGTTTTTACGTATTACACAAACATAAAGGATTTTTTTCTTTTAAGGAATTATAACCTAGGACCCCATCAGCTTCCCCAATCAGATGGCCTGAATACTCTATTTCAGGTGGTGCCAGACCTTGGCCTGTTGGATAAATCTGGCTTTGTCACCTGTTTTAAGTTGTATTGGAACAAAGGAACACTATTCTTTTACATATTGTCGATGGCTGGTTTGGCACTACAACAATACTGAGTAGCTGTAACACAGGCCAAAGAACCCACAAAGCCTAAAATATTAACTATCTGGCCCCTTACAGAAAGTTTGTCAATCTTTGACGTAATTTATTTCACAATCCCCCTTACTCTCCATCCTTCTTTTTCACTAGGAAAGATAGAAGCAACCAGAAAAGAACTCTTGAAGACTCTGTACCACATCCACCCTCTTCTTTCATGTATACTCATATACTCTACTTTCTACACCTTATTTTTACGGATGGACTGTCCACATGCCTATTAAGAGTAAGTCTTCACTTGTGCACTAGACCCCACCCCTTAGCCTATTTAAGGGTACTGCTCAGAAATTATCGCATCTAACTCTTGTCTACCTTTCTCTCTCTACTAGATCATCCCATCAAGGTACAAACTGCAATATCTTCCGTCTTTAAAAAAATAATAATAATAATACCCTCTCTTTGAGGGGCGCTTGGCTGCCTCAGACAGAAGAGCATAAGACACTTGATCTCAGGGCTGTGAGTTGGAGACCCATGTTAGGTGTAGAGATTAATTAAATAAATCAGTTAAACTGAATGAAAACACTCTCTTGATATCACATCTCCCCCAGGCTAACGCTCCACTTCTCACTCCCCTTTCCATTAACATAAGAGAGCAGTCCCTACATACTGCCTATACATGTTCTCTGCCCATTTTCTCTTAAACATACTCCAATCAGTCTTCCCTTTCTGCCTTGCCATTAAAACAGCTCTATCAAGTCCACTAATGAGCTCCATGCGGCTAAGTCCAAAGATCCTTTCCTAGTCTTCATTAGCTTGACATCAGCATCATTTGACATAATTAATCCTTCTCTCCTATCCTAGCTTCTAGGACACCATTTTCTCTTGGCTGTCTCCTATCCCACTAGCAAAAGTGGTTTCCTTTGCTATTGTTCTCATCATCCCAACCTGGACACTGGGCCCAAGTGTCCATTTCTGAACATCTTCTCTCTTCCATCTATCTTTACTCCCTAGAACATCTCATCCAGTCTCATGGCTTTAAATCCTACTTACATGTGATGACTTCATTTCATATCTCTGGTTTAGAACTCCACCTTAAATTCCAGATTCCTATTTCCAACTGTCTACTCAACATACCCAACTGGACACATAGTTGGCATCTCAGATTTAACATGTCCAAAATACTCTTATAAACCTGTTCCTCTTGTAGTCTCCCTGTCCTGGTGAGTGGCCTTTCTATTTTCCAACTGCCTAAGCCCAAAACTTTGGAATTTCCTTGACTCTGTCTCTCATACCTAACATCCAATCTGTCACAAAAACTTTCTGCAAAATACACCTAAAATACAATCACTTCTTACCAGTTCCACCAGACCAGTGCAATAAGCCCCTAATTGTAGCTTCACCTCTTCATCCCTCCAATCTAACTTTTTTTCACAGAAGCTAAAGTGGTCCCTTTAAAAAAGATTATGTTACCTGCTGTTCAAAACCCTCTAATGGCTTCCCACCTTAGAATAAGGGCTAAAGCCCTTATAATAGCTTACCAGGACTTTGTAACTGCACCTGGCTGCCATCTCATGTCAACTCCTCACACTTTTGTCCTTGTTCACGCTGCTCTAGCCAATCTTGCTTCCTTGCAGTTCCTAGAATATGCCAAGCATGCTGCATGCTCCAGCCGCAGGGTTTTTGCACTAGGTCCTCTTCCTGAAACCCCGCCCCCAGGCTTGTTTCCTCTCTCTTTCAGATTCCAACTGAGAAGTCTACTTGGGCATGAGGTTTTCCCTAACCTACGATAACCAATTGCCTCCTTCTCCCCATGTCTACACTTCTATCCCTTAGCCCGTTTCATTTCCCCCTTACCATTTGCCATCTGGGACACTATGTATATTTGTCCATTTATTGTTCGCTCCTCCATTGTCAACATATATTAGGACAGGGATTTTGTCTGTTTGATTTACTGTTCTATTGCCCAGTGCCTAGAACAATTCCTACAGATAGTAGGTGCTCAATAGACACATTTTTAAAATGAATCTAAAAGAGAAATTAAAAGTAAAATAACTTGTTTATAAATTTAAATATAACTCTGAAAATTAATTTGAAATATATTTTAGGATTTCATAAATTTTGTTTAATTAACATTAGCTTTGTTTCTTACCCGAAGTCTCTATGTAGTAATGGGTAATTGCCTTCCAGTGATAAACAAAATCTTCTTGTAAAGGAAGAGAAGGTGCAAGCTATACAAACACACACACACACACAAAAAGACCACAACGATTAAGAAAATGGCATTATACATTTCCCATAAAGTATAACTCTGTATTTGTCTATTAATAATATAAAAGCAGCATAAGCCTAAGGGATGAGCTTTAATTTCATTCTACATGTCAGATATCAAAGAGAAACCAAAGGAATTAAAATCAAGAAAGATTGAGAGGAAAAATGTTTATCAATATTATTATTAAACTACAAGGACTAGGAATTTTTTTCCTCCCCATACTAGTAACTACAAAAGGTTTCAAAAATAGTGTTAAATGAAAAAATGCAATATCCTATTTATATTATCAGTAAAATGAAATTATCAATAACCAGGGATCTTTGTACCTAGTACTTTGAAATCCAAAACAGTAAAAAGTTGCTATGTAATTAGTTACACGTCACCATTACGAAAACATAGACCAAAGTCAACCCTGTAATCTGATTAAAACTGTTTCCTACTTCCAGTGACATACAGATGCAAACCATTTCTTTTTTAAGCCTGGATTAGGCAGTGCATATTTTTAGCAAAATACCTATGTGAACAAGACACTACCAATTTAAATTCCACAAAGCCAAAAATGTTTTACATTTTAGCTTTCAAATTTACTTCAAAAATTTTAAGACCAAAATTATATGCCTTCAGCCATCTCATAGCAAACCTGCCAAGGATTTCAAATGTGTGTTAAATGAATAGAAAAAGACCTGGATACACCTTCCACAACACTGTCTTTTCTTTAAACAGAGTGAGAAAGAGAAAGAGAGCATGCTCTGCTGGTCCTACTATTGCTCATAAATTTTGGCCAGAAAGTTCTCAGTTGACCCAACTTACTTAAAAACAAACAGGTTTCTATTCTGATAACCTATAGCATGGCAAGGTCATCTTTCTTTTCCATATACTTCATCTAAACTGATGACTTGAGGGATCATGTTACTTCTGTACTTTTTCCTATTCCATTTTGATTTCTTGGTGTCCTCAGGCAGAGACCTCTAAGTTTGAAATCCTATCAAAACAATCTCAAAACTATTGGGCAAATTATAAACATTGGTCATAGACCCCTAAGCGTTTCAACCCAGAAGATGAAATGTCCTTAGAAAAGAAGTGAAACATTTCACAGCAACTGACAGCATTTTAACGCTAGTTCCTATGCTTGCCTGTGGGCGCCAACTCTGAATCGCAGAGTTGAGAGATTGTAAGTACCCACCTCATTTCCAAAGACAGTGCTGTGAAATTTTTAAAAAGGCTTTAGATTTTTAACAAAAGAGTTAAAACCTTTGGGATTACTATCCTTCAAAAAAGAAAAATTAACTATCTGGCAGAGAAATTATTTGGGAGACACGGAGAAAAAAAAATAGAAAGAAAATTAGGAAGTGTTACCTTGGGAAAATAATCTTCCTCAAACTTTTAGAGTGAAAAAATGTTTTAATCAGGAACTTGATTTTAAGATCGCCTTCAAAATATATATTATATATATATATATATATATATATATATATATATTAAAATCCTCTTGTTTTTTTTTTTGAACCTGGTTTTTTATATACCATCTTTATATAGCAAAATGTATTAACGACTGGGATAAACCGAAATGAAATTTGGTGTTTCAAAAAAAAGTACCTAGTTTCTTAAGTGTAACTGTTGTGATTTGTTAAATTTTTCTGAGGGCCATCTCCTTGGTATAGAAGGAATTAGAGCATTCTTGCTCCAGATTATTTTACCTCTGGGACTTAACTCCATTTCCAAGTTAGGTCACTAGATCAGAGGTCTTACAGGATTTGTGTTCGGACCTTTGCTGTTATAGTTCAAATCAAAGCAGGATGGTGTTGCTTACCTGTAAATACCTCTCTCCCAGGAGTTTGATTTAAATAAGAAACCTATTTAAGTAGACAGTGAGACAAACTGCTAACAACTTAGTTTAGTAATAACCTTGCTCAAACATGAATAAGTTTCCTTATTTATGTAAAACTTCCTACTAAAATTGTCTTTCATTACTAATTCTAACATGCAAATAACTTGTTTTATCATTGCATAAAATAAACATTTATTTAAAAATAAAAAAAGGAAGAGGTGTGTGAATCAGCATGAGGGGATTCTCACTTGAGTTTACCTTTTACGAAACAGATTGAATTTCTGAAAATTCACGCAATCACACTCCCAGCCAAAACTGGACATGAGTGCCTACCTGGGGCATGGCTTTCTCTGGGAAGCCTTGCCAGACTTCCTGCCGAGCATCCAGTTCTTCCCACAAACCGTTGCACCCTCTCCCAGCCTGCTCACTCTCTCCTAGCCCTTATCCCACATTTGTCATGGCTGGTCTCCTCCACTGGATTGTGTCATCTTTCTCCTCACCGAATTCTCTGCTGGTTTCCGACTCAGTGATGGCACAAAGTAAGCATTCAGTCATTTTTACCGAGTGAATAATCCATCCACACAGCAGTTGCTGTCATTTACTGAGGAGTTATGTGCCAGACACGGTGCTGCAAAGTTTTCACTTCCTATATAGTCTTAAATGATCTTACAATAAACTCCAATTTCCCCCAAACTCCTATTAAGATCCAAAGCCAGTTAACTGCTTCACCCAAGGGGAAACACTGCTTGTAACTAGCAACCCAGACTGTCTCTCCCAAAGGCCTACCACACAGAAGGACCTACAGCGGTAACTCAGAGAGCCAGCATCTGTCAGAGAAGCCCGATGTGCTCACTCTCACCTGTAACATGGACATTTCACACCCTCAGCTTCAAAATGCTTCTTCCTTCCAATTTCCCTCAGGTGCCTCCTATCTCCCTGGCCTCTTCCAAATCCAGCACAGGCCTCCCTTCTTTCTCCAAGCCCACTAATCCTAACTGTTTGTCCCCACAAAACTCACTGGCTGAACAATCAACCAAAAATTAGTATCAGTGGTTCACATTTATGAAGCACTTACTATGTACCAGGCACTGCACTAGGCACTTCACGTTACCTCATTTTAATTTTCACAATAATCCTATGAGATAGGTATATTTCCATTTTACAATGAGGATGTTGAAATGTACAAAGACTAACTTGTCCTGTGTAGAAGGGAGGGACAGAGGCAGGACTGACTCTGTTCTGGATGGTTCTAGAGGCTAGGCTGTACTCTTGTGCACTGTTTAATCTTTAACTTGTGTATTTGTTTGGTCTCCCAAATTAGGCTGTAAACCTTATGTTTCCTCTGCACCGTGCCATGCTTTCATGGTAGGCTCACAAACATTTGCTGAATGACTGAAGGACTAAAAGTTAGAGATCCCATCAAAAAAGAATACACTTGGGGCACCTGGGTGGTTCAGTGGTTGAGTATCTGCCTTTGGCTCAGGTGGTGATCGCGGGGTCCTGGGATCGAGTCCCGCACCAGGTTCCCTGCAGGGAGCCTGCTTCTCCCTCTACGTATGTCTCTGACTCTCTCATGAATAAATAAATAAAATCTTAAAAAAAAAATACACCTAAGAAAACACTATATATATGTTTGATTTGAGGTTTTAATTCCCAGGGCAGAATAGCTTTTAAAACACTGCCAGTCCCAACAATCAACAACTCTTAACTATGATTCAAAAAGAAGATTCAAATTCTGAAGGGTGACTTCCATTGAATTAAAGTAGATAAAACTTTCTTCCCCTATCCTCTTGGAATAAATCTGCCCTCAAAGGGTGAAACTGGCTGAAATTTAAAAAGAACCAGGCATATTACCTGGGACAGACTAGGCCCTCAATATTTAATTGTACTAAAGTGTTTTACTTGTATTGTGGAGAAACTGTGCTAACATGATCTAGTCCAACCTAGGAACTAACTACAAGATTTCACTCATGACATGTGGCAACAGGCTAACAAAATGGATTCATTCGCTGCAAAACTTACTGGCCAATCATTTTTTTCACTGAGGGAAGACTCATTTCTGAAAAGGGAAACAAGAGTTACATTACAGTTTTTGCTTTTGATCAAGGTATGAATTTCTCTCCTAAACTCAAAATGTAATCTATCAGCTTACTAACAACATGCTTTCAAATACTGATCTTGAAAATCTTATATATTTTGTCCTAGTACTAGTTAACAGAAAGTGAGAGAAACCGTTAATTAAATAAGGAAAACTCTACATGTAAATCACATTTAAATGAATATGTTTATCTGGCCAACCCTAAAAAAAAAACATTTGAAGATTTGAAGAAACCTATAAAGTAATAATATCAAAATGACTAAAAACAGCGACACTGGAAAAAGGTGATGTCAACACCAGCACATAGGATAATGTCCCACCTCTGAAAAATCCAGATAATAATGTTAATTGCATTACTATATCAGAAATGCTATTCGGGCACACAAAAGGCTACAGAGAAAAACTAATGAACTGCTGAATGGTAAAAGTAGTTTATAGAAGAAAATGCCAGGCGAATAAACAGAACTGAAAAACTAGGGATCCCTGGGTGGCGCAGCGGTTTGGCGCCTGCCTTTGGCCCAGGGTGCGATCCTGGAGACCCGGGATCGGATCCCACGTCGGGCTCCCGGTGCATGGAGCCTGCTTCTCCCTCTGCCTATGTCTCTGCCTCTCTCTCTCTCTCTCTCTGTGTGTGACTATCATAAATAAATAAAAAATAAAAAAAAATTAAAAAAAAGAACTGAAAAACTAGAAACCAATCTTAGGCTAGGCAAAAACATTCTTCAAATACCACAAGGACGGCTTATTTATCATTATGTATGAGTTCACTTCCAAGAGAGAAAGGAAAAAGTATGCCAAATTCTTTCAGATTTAACCTCCTTATCAAAGTAAACTGGGAGGTATCACAGCTGAAAACATGAACTCTAATCAAGTAAAAACATTAGTTTTCCAAACGCAACATATCAGTTACTAGGACCAGGTGAACAAAACCCACTCTTTAACTTTTTCTCACCTCAGCAAAGTAGAGAACCTGGATATGCCAGAGTCAATTCCTATGGACAATTTGGTAGATGCTAGCATACACAGTTATAAAAAGATAACGAGGACAGAAAACACGAGTCTCAGGACAAAAATGACTCTTTAGTGGGAGAGTATGAAAGCTGTCCTTCTTTTTCTCAGTACTTCTTTCTGTAAATATCAACCTGATAGGTAAAGGATGTAAATAACCTAATATATTTTTTTCCTAGTTATCTCCATATCAACCTGTACTCAATGTTAAAATGAAATGATTCTCAGTATTTTAAGTTAAAGAATAATATAAAATGTAAATGCCACTGTTTTTATAAATTTTGGTTCAATTCTTTTAACATAAAGATGCCGTAGACTATGTACAAGAAGGGAAAACTGTTGCCCTGAAGTCTAAAACTGTCATCTCCTTCACGTGTGATCCTGCTCTTCATTCATGAAAACCCTCTTTGATTTGATACACTTTTTCCTCAAGAACTTGGGCTGCGCTTAACACGATTTTTAAGCATTTCCCACATATCACTTAAAACAATTGTACTGAGGTTTTGTTTTCACACTTAATCTTAAAAATATCTTTTATTTTATCTGACCATGAAAATGGTTCTATGGCGGCTGGGGGGGGGGGGTGTTGTTGTTGTTGTTGTTGTTAAGTTGGGTGGATTTTAAGGTGCTATTCATATTCGCACAAGCTAAACATAGAGACATAGAGAATGACTCTTTTTTTTTTTTTTTTTAATTAGGAAAGTACTGGTTTCTTCCACAGGATGCATTTTCCAAGTTGGGCAACTCTCCCTGGGTAAAGAGAAACCACCAAAGGGCAGCAAAGTAGACCTCTATCTTAGGAAGGCAACAACAAGGGATTTTTTTTTTTTTTTTTTTTTTTAGTTTAGCGTGCTGGGGGGTCTGAACGGCCTTCTACGCGGGTGTGTAAGGTCCTCAAAGGAGAGCGTCCGGGAAGAGGGGGCAGGAAAGGAGACGGAGGGCCTGGGGGGTCGCGGCCCAGGCAGGGCTGGGGGGTCGCGGCCCAGGGCTGGGGGGTCATGACCCAGGCCTGGAGGGCCTCCCGGCAGCCGCGCAGACCCCGGAGCCCGCAGACCCCCGGACCCAGTCCCGCCGCCCGCCCTGGGGTCGCCGCCCGCCCCCGCCCCGCAAAGTCCCCACGGCCCCGAAGCAAGCCCGGGCCGCGGCTGCCGCCCCTTTTGTCCCGCTCCGCGCTGGCCGCCTTTCCCCGGGGCAGGTCCGCGGCCCCACCCGGGAGCCGGGCGACCCCGAGCCCCGCCCCGCCCCGCCCCGCCCGGGAGCCCGGTCGTGCCCGGGGCTGCGGCGAGCCAGGCCCGCCCCCGGGTGTCGCCCCCCCCCGCGGGAGGCCGGCCGCCCAGGCCCGGGGAGCGTAGGCCGCCGCCATCCCCGGCCTGCCGTGGGCCCGCCGCCCGCCCGCCGCCCGCCGCCCGCCGCCCGCCGCCCGCCGCCTTACCGCCTCCACGGCGTGCTGCAGGATGGAGGTGAACTTGGAGAACATCCTGTCCCGGGACTGCAGCAGCCTCTCCCGGGACGACCTGGAGAGCTCCTCGATCCGCCGCCGCCGCCCCTGCTGCGGCTGCCCGGGCCGCTCCAGAGTGAAGGCCGGTGCGCGCCGGGGACGAGCGGAGGGCCGAGGCGGGGCCCGGGCGCGGCGGCTGTCGGGGCGGGCGGCTCCGGCGGGCGGGCGGCTCCGGCGGGCGCTGGGGCGCGGCGGGCGGCGGGGACGCGGCGATCGGCGCCGCTGCTGCTGCTGCTGCTGCTGCTGCTGCTACGGCGGCTCCGGCGGCTCCGGCGGCTCCGGCTCGGACACGGTGGCAGCCCGGCCCGGGTTCCTTCCGCCCGCTCTGCCCGCCGCGGCCTGCAGGGGGCGCCGCCGCGGCCCGGGGAGGCCCCGACCGAGCCTGCCCAGCGGCGGGGCGGCGGGACGCGGCGGGGGCGGGACAGGCGCGGGGGGGGGGGGCGCGGGGGGCGCGGACCCGGACCCGACGGGCGCCCCCGCTCCGGCGTCCTCGGCTTGGGGGGATTCGGCCGACCCCCAGTTCCGTGTCTGCAGGGGGACTACGAGGCCGATTTTGTAGCGGAGCCCAGCCACGGCCGCGTGTGACCGAGCTCGGAAGTTTCTCCTCTAAGGGCGGATTTGGGAGACTGGTAAGGAACAGCTCCGTGTTCCCAAGGCAAAAAAATGGTCCGTGCATTTAGATACGGCGAATTAGAACAAAGCAGCTAATGTTGCTGAAATGGCTTTGCTGACTGCGAAATATTATTATTATTATTATTAATAGTCATTAAGTATTAAAACAGGAAGATCGGAACGGACAAATGGTGAGATGACTCAGTTCATAGTTTGCAACATGTTTGATAGGTGCAGGGCATCCAGTGCTGTATTTCCTTTCTTTCTTTTTTTTAAGATTTTATTTATGTATTCATGAGAAACAGAGAGAGAGAGAGAGAGGCAGAGACACAGGCAGAGGCAGAAGCAGGCCCCATGCAGGGAGCCCGACGTGGGACTCGATCCTGGGACTCCAGGGTTAAGCCCTGGGCCAAAGGCTGACGCTTAACCGCTGAGTCCCCCCCCCGCCCCCCACCGGGCTGCCCAGTGTTGTATTTTCTATTCTGTTTATCGAATGGAAAATAACTGAGGGAAACAACCTGAAGGGGTTCTGCTAAATGCATAGGACAGGTAAGTGGGGCTACAATGTAAGTGCTCGGGTGGAGGCTTTTTTTTTTTTTTTTGATTTTTATTTATTTATTTATGATAGTCACAGAGAGAGAGAGAGAGAGGCAGAGACATAGGCAGAGGGAGAAGCAGGCTCCATGCACCGGGAGCCCAACGTGGGACTCGATCCCGGGTCTCCAGGATCGCGCCCTGGGCCAAAGGCAGGCGCCAAACCGCTACGCCACCCAGGGATCCCCTGGAGGCTTCTTAAAAATACTGTGCAACAGTATTATTAGCCAGGCTTTGAAGAAGCACAATGCACGGTGGTGAATTTTAGGTTGGGTTGATACAAGTTAGGAAAATGTTCATGTCCTGGAGAACTTTGTGGGGGTTTTTTTGTTGGTTTTTTTTTTGCCGGTATTAGTATTTTATCTAAAGGACCGTTAAGTTCTTGATAAGGCGAGGGTGGAGTAAGTTTTGCATAACTGGTGATGGCGGTATGTATTTATCATTGAATTTGTTGAATAGGGAAAACAAAAAAAAGCAGAAAGGAACAGCAGTGTGCAGTGGTGTTAAGAGCCAGTCTCTGGAGGTGAGTAGCCTGAATTTAAACTCCTGCTTTGCCACTCACCATGGCAGGCTTTTTAATCTCTTTATGCTTTAGTTTCTTCATCTGCAAAATTGGGGAGAGTAGCACCTACCCGGTGAGGTTGTGTGGAAATTTAACAACGTATGTAGAATACTTTAACCACGTCCAGTCCATGGTAAGCATTATGCTGGCATTTGTTATTACTTCTATTAGTAGTAATAATAGTGTTTAAAAATAATAGGACCAGATATTAAGGTTTAATTGGAGACTTTAACTATAGATCTCCCCTGACTTTCGATGGGGTTATGTCCCCATAACTCCATAAGTTGAAAATATCTTAAGTCGAGGTGCATTTAATACACTTAACCCTACAGAACATCATAACTTAGTCTACCTGTCTACCTAAATGTGCTCAGAACACTTACATTGACCTAGAGATAGTCAAAATCATCCAACACTACACCTATTTTATAATAGTGCTGAATACCTCATGTAACTTATTGAAAACTGTACTGAAAGTGAAAAACTGAATGATCTTTTTTTTTTTTTTTTTTTTAGGATTTTATTCATTTATTCATGAGAGATACAGAGAGGCAGAGACACAGACAGAGGGAGAAGCAGGCTCCCCATGGGGAGCCCAATGCAGGACTCCATCCCTGGGCCCCGGTTTGACACCCATAGCTGAAGGCAGATGCTCAACCCCTGAGACACTCAGGCATCCTGAAAACTAGAATGATCTTAAGTGCATCAGTTGTTCACCTTTGTGATCGAGTGGCCGACTGGGAGCCATGGTTGCTGCTGCTGCCCAGCATCACGTGTCCTAGAGCGTATCACTACGCTAGCCTGGGAACAGATCCAGTTCCAAGTAGGGTTTCTACTGAATGCGTATCACTCTCACACCATCATAAAGTCAAAAAATGGTAAATCAAACTATTGTAAGCAGGGGACTATCCGTCGTTTTGTCTTCTTTTCTCGTTTGTTTTTGTTGCTTGTATCCTCGCAGTGCAGGTAAATTTGAATCTTTTTTTTTTCTAATTATTTATTTGTGGTAGTCATACAGAGAGAAGAGAGAGAGGCAGAGACATAAGCAGAGGGAGAAGCAGGCTCCATGCACCGGGAGCCCGACAGTAGGACTCGATCCCGGGTCTCCAGGATCGCGCCCTGGGCCAAAGGCAGGCGCCAAACCACTGCGCCACCCAGGGATCCCCAGTGCAGGTAAATTTGGCTTTAATTTCCTGTGTACTGGTCTCCAGAATGCTGGAAGCACTCTCTGTTGTATGCCAAAAATTGAAATGTGCTCCCTACCAAATTATGACTAATTGTGTCTGCTTCAAACAAGAGTACATATTTTTTATTATGCACACAGCTTGAGGGGGTTAGTCATATTAAAAACCGTGATTATTTTCCTGACCTAATTGTCATACATTTATATGATATTTTGTATTTTCATAATGTCTTACAACCACTAATTGTATAAGAAGGTCTGTTAAACACAGGCTTATTTAGAGTTGTTTGCATTTGATGATGCCTGTCTTTGTATGCTTATTATGAATATAATAAAAAATGTTTTACTCGACAAAATATCAACATTTAGGATGATGATTCATCTCCCTGATGTCTGATGTATGTTCCAAGACATACACGCTGGGCTAGAATTATAATTGAGCAGATAGCCTTACCTCTTCTCATCTTAGATAGTCTGTAGTGACACTACCATTAGCACCAGCCTCATGCATGGACTGGACCTCCTGCAACAGAAGTGTGATTTGAGAAAGCGTAATATGGGCTTCCCTGGCCTCCAGAACATTTAGATATGGGAAACTGAAATTCCCCAATTAGGATTTTATTTCTTCATTCCTTTTGGCTTAAGCCAAATAAGAAATTTAGTCCCTGCTAAAAATTGAAATACTCTTGGGAGAGATAATGTGCCAAATTCTATCATTCATTATACTTCAGAGTGAATGAGTTTGTTAAATTCCTTTCTGAACAGGGACACCTGGGTGGCTCAGTGGTTGAGCATCTGCCTTCAGCTCAGGGGCCTGATCCCAGAGTCCTGGGATGGAGTCCCACATCAGGCTCCCCACAGGGAGCCTGCTTCTCCCTCTATGTCTCTGCCTCTCTCTGTGTGTCTCTCATGAATAAATAAATAAAATATTTTTAAAAAATTTTCTTGGAACACCTGGATGGCTCAGCGGTTAAGCTCTGGTTTTGGCTCAGAGTGTGATCCTGGAGTTCAGGGATTGAGTCCCACATCAGGCTTCCTGCATGGAGCCTGCTTCTCCCTCTGCGTATGTCTCTGCCTCTCTCTCTCTGTGTCTCTCATGAATAAATAAACAAACAAACGCCAGAACAATAAATGAAAATAGACTTACTATAGAGGATGTTATTTTGAAGTTCAGAACACTGAGTTCAGAGAAGATCTGAAACTACATAGTTTCCAATGAGAGAAAAAAGAAAAGAAGTCCATACAAAGAATTAAGGATTACGAAGGTATAACACTTTATAATGACATCATGGGAAGTAAGAAGGCATTAGGGCAATGCCTTAAAAATTCTGAAATAAAATAATTTCAATCTAGAATTCTAGGAACCGAAGTTTCCTAGTTTACAGTTTCTTAGTAAATAAGTCATTTCAGATGTGCAGGGTATTGAAAATCTTTCCTACCTTCTACTCTCTCAAGCTATCAAAAGATGTGCTCCATCAAACCTCATGGAGTAAACCAAAGGGAAAAAAGAAAAAAAGATAAAGGAATCAGAATAGAGAGCCCATCATCAGAGGGAGGTGAGGGAAATTCCTAGGATGTTGGTGAAGTAGTATTCCAAGATAACAACTATGCATCAAGCTGAGACAGCTAACCAACCAGTCCAGACTGGAGCAGGTCAGAAGAGATGTCCTCAAGAAGATAAAACTTCTAGATGGATTATCTGTGTGTTTGAGAAGATTTACAAGATAGGAGAGTTTGAGGTTGAACTAGTGATAAATACAAAGAAAACTAAGCAAAGAAAAAAATGAGAATCATTATAAATACCAAGGAAAAGAAAAATTTTCTGTAGGAACAAGTAATCATAATACATCCATGGCTCAGCTATATGTCTATATAACCATAGTAATGTAAACACTGATTTAATTAAAATTATATTATTGCTGCTGTATTGGGAAGATGAAAGGATGGTTATGTGGTGGAAGTAGGGGTGGGGTGTGTATGTGAGAGAAAGACAGAAACTAAACCCTCATCTGTTGTGAGGAAACATTAGATATTGCTTAGAACAGAAATATGAAGTGAAATTATGGGCATATCTTTCTTATTTAAAGAAAGGAAGCAAATAATAAGAGTCTGCTCAGGTACTGAAAGAGATCCCTTTCCTCCCAGGAGACTGGGAGTTTTGGAGGAAGGATAAGGAGCTTTCAAAACAAACCGTGTAAAAGTTCTTT